TTTTTTGCAAAGCAGACAGAACAATACCCAGTAAGTTCTACATGGTACATAAATGAAAGAAAGAAAAGTGATTACTTAAATGCAACCAGCATTAGCTGCCCATTCATTCACTGCCTCTCACTCATTCGGTATTTATCGAGCACTTACTGAATTCATTACCATCACTTCACCATCTAGTAGGGAAAACACATAGGCACCAACAGAAAAAAATGTTTTCTTTTAGAAAAAAGTGATAAGTCTAAGTAGAGATTTTCGCAGGATTCTAACAAAGGCCAAAGGAAGAACATTTACGATTTCGCAAGTAAACTTAAAAAGGAACAAAAACCCCTACAGTTCAAGCCTTTGAATCCATTTAAAACATCAAATTTGGTCTGATTTGTGAATTTAGAGACACTAGCCTTTTGGAGAATATTGCCATTCAATGCCCTCTCTTCAACCTCTCTGGATGCTTTTCTGCCTGCCTCCCGCTCCCTATCTTCTTGATCACCCAGAAAATAGTCCTGGGTTCACCCCCAGTCCTCAGTTAATGGATGGTGAAGGGGATATGGGTTCCATTGAACCAACCCTCAGTCATTTTCTTTACTTTTTAAATATATTTTTACTGATTTCAGAGAGAAAGAGAGATAGAAACATCAATGACGAGAGAGAATCCTTGATCAGCTGCCTCCTGATCGCCCCATGCTGGGAATGGAGCAGCAATCCAAGCATATGCCCTGATGGGACTAGAACTGTGATCTCCTGGTTCATGGGTCGACACTCAGCCACTGAGCCACGCTGGCTGGGCAACCCTCAGTCATTTTAAAAAAACAACTTATAAATATTTGGGAGAAGGGGGAAGAGGATGGAAGCCCCAGTAACTCGTAAGATCTCAACTGGAGATCTCCAGATGGTTTAATAACTGATGGAAATGAAATGAAGTCACTCCCCTCCCCCCATTCAATTCTTGTGAATGTAACCGCTTTTAAATGCACTGAACCCAGTCAAGCTGGCTCAGACCGGGGACCCTGCGGAGCCCGGATCCTCAGGCGGGGGCCACGAGGAGCTTCCCGGCCGCAGCGCGGAGGCCCACCCGCCTCTCCCTCCGTCTGCGGCTTACGTGCCCACACCCTGCACTCGGGACCACTTTGGAAAACGCCGGGCAATGGCAAGTGGCTGTCACTAGCCGCGGGCCTGACTGTCGACCCCAGCCCTTTCCGACGCACACCGCCCGAGGGCTGCTGCCCCAACTGCCCCGAACTTCAGCCGGCAATCGCTGGACTTGCGGTCTGGCGACTTTCCTAAACTCCGGGCTCCAGAATCGCATCGCCAGACCCGGGGCAGGAGCGAGCCGGCGCGGGCAACTGCGCAGCTCGGGGACGGCGGGTGCAAAAGCTGCGCTCCCGCTGGGGGCCGGCGCCGCGGAGGAACTGAACCCTGGAACCCTGCGCCGGGTGCACCGTCTCCTCCCCGGAGACTGCGATATTGCTCAAAGGCTCGGAGGCACGGGGGACAATTATTGCCTCGGATTTGTAGCTCTTCGCGGAGGGAAGGGGCAGGAAGGGACAGGGCGGGGTGTGCGAGTGGGGGAGTAATGCAAGGGTGCTGGGGCCGGTAGGCGGATGGGGAGCCCATCTCCAGAGTCCCCAGTCTCGGGCCCAGGTCTGCAATGGGAGGGGCAGAAGGTGGAACCAAGCTTGCACTTGCAAAGCCTAAAGCGATTTCTCCTCATAGAGCTGGTTACCCGGGTGGGCGGACCCCCTCCTCCGACAACATCCCGGCAGCTTCGCCACCACGATTCCTTTTTTCACCGGGGTTCTCCCCAATCCGCCCAACGCCGGCTTCAAAGGTCCAGAGAGAGGGATTGGGGCTGCCCCTCAAACCCCGGCCGCGCCCAGACCTGTGCTCAGCTCTGTCCAAAGATCCCCCCATCACACCCACAATCCACCCACGTCCCGCGCCGGCCCAAGGCTGGGGGCGGCCGCCTCGAGGGCTGACCGGCTCCAGCTTACCTTGATGAGCCGGAGCCGCGGGCGCCGTCCCATCCTCGGATCCTCGGGCTCGCTCGGTCACCGTCCTGAACGCCTGGGTCCCTCGGACATCCCAGAGGAGCGCGCGCCGGTGGCGGGCTCGGGCGGGCGAGCGGGCGGGGTGAGCGGCTGGGCTCCTCTGTCGCCGCCCGGCCGGGCCCCGGCGGGCTCTCGCTCTCCCCTTCCTACGAAAGTCCGGCTCCCGTTTAGCTCCTCGCCCGCCCGGAGCCCGCTTCGCTTCCGCCGCCTCCCCCTTGGTC